TTTTTTTTTTGGTCTGAACCACGAGGTGGTCCTGGATGGGCTCCAACTATGGATGGCACCTTTAAGCCTTAACCACAACCCAGACTAATCCCCGTTCACACCGGGTCGGCCCGTAAGGAGTAAAGTGCTGGCCAAAGTGGTGACTCCATACGAGAGCAGGGATCGAACCCCTGACCTCTCTTAAGGAATGAGAGTGCCGAACCACTCACACCAACCACCTTGGTTTATATTATAACATACCCATATATATATATATATATATATTATATATTATAATATACATATATATACCTACATGCACATATATTAAATATGTATAATATATCATATGTATACATATATATTATGTTATATTATAATATACATATATACTTACATATATACATGAATATTATTATAGCATATCCATATACAAGGATTGAAATATCAGCCGATACACCGATATATCTGCTGATATATCGGTATTTTCAACTGTCAACACCGATACTGGGGTAAGGCTATATCTTCTCATGTATCGATGATATATCCCCAATAAGTGCGATATCCTCGATATTTTCCGATACCCATAACGTAACCCAAAAAAATTCAGAAGTTTTGAAGGCAATTGAAGTAAATTAAAACCCAAAAATAGTTAATCCTTACCCAAAGCCCTATAATTTATTAATATGAAGAATTTATACACAGTCCACTGCCCACATACCTCCAATCCATCTGAAGATGACATGGCGATCAGTTTTGGATATATGAGCATAGGAACTAGACTTAGTACTAACTCAAATGAATCTTATGATGGCTATGGTTATGTCATGTCTGATTATATTGGAACTAGTTATGAAGCTCAAGATGATAAAAAAATATTATAGACATACTAGTTGGTTAATCCTAACTATCCCATATTTAGGAGGACAATAGGGAACTCAAGAGAGACCTATGTGCACCATGTTCAAACATAGCTTACAAACTGCTCGAGTTACATGACTTGGTATGACTATTATATGAATCTAGATGATTGTTCCTCATTGTTTGAACCTCATAGGAGCTCTTCATTTATGTAGATGGACACTTATCTAAATTGTAATCCAATGTTTAAACAAACTATGGATTTATGCATGGTTTATTCATTCAAATTAATATTTTATCATTATTTCATCATGTGTATATCTTATTATAGTAAATTTTGAGTTTTATTTGTTCAATACATTCATTGATAATGTACATAACATCTATGTAAGTTATACACCAAAATTATGTGTTTCAATGCCTATATCTTTCATTTTTGTTGATTTTTTTCCGATACCTAAAACGATAACGATATATCCTCCGAAATATCCTTAAATTGGAGGCCCGATGTTATCTGCACGGCCGATATTTTAATCATTGATCCTTTTGTCTTTCTAGAGTTGATTTTTCCCTTTCTAGTTTTGTAAAAGGCAGTTCTGCCTGAAACAGTCCACTTTATTGTCATTTATTCTGGCCAGAACTACCAATTTTGACTTGAGATAAATTGTGAAGTCCTCACTAGTTTGAGGCAGGAAAAGAACTTACTTGGGAGATATTCATCACCCAAATTCACAATTGCTTGTTTAGAAATCAGTAACTTAGGGTGCAAGTTATCTATTTTAAAGAAATCTGCTAGGATTTTCATTGCTAGCAGTGGCACGCTCATACACCAAAGAAAGCTGACTTGCTGACCAGTCAATGGTTTTCAAGGCAGTGGGGAACTTTGCCCTTCCATCTCAGGAGAAATCACAAAGCGAGGTGAACAAATATACATATATATGTATTTGTATTTGTATTATACCCATGTATATATTATTATATACATATTATAAAATACATATATACATGTACATAATATATGTATTTATACATATATATATATATATATATAGTTTTGAAAAAATAAAAAGATCTAGTCCTAGTCCAAGCATACACCAAACGCAGGATAAGTGTTATCCAACTTAGACTAAGCCAAGCCAAGCCAAGCCAAGCCAAGACAGTCCCTAAGCATAGTGTTGAGCCCAAAAAATCCATATTTAAGCCCGAATAAATTCCCGGCCTAGTACAACACTTAACTTAGGAAGAAACCCAATTTGGGCACGCAAGAGTTCATCATATACGCTTGCACACGTGCCACGCCAAACAAATAAGCAACACGCCACCCTACAAGCTTAAGTGGGTCAAAGCCACGCAAGATGCCTAGGGCTTGCTTGAGTGGGTTGTGGTATGGATGGTAATAAGTTGACATGAGGCCCATTAATGGGCCGAGAAACGGAAGTCCTGGGGTTGCTTGGGAGCCTCGGAACTCAAGCTCATTTCTTATGCCCAAATATGTGGGTGAGCATAAAGAAAAAAATAACTCATTACTTCAACCAAAGTAGCCCATTAGCCCAACCAAAATAGCCCAACAATTGATGAAGATAGCACATTTACTTGATAAACCAACTTATTGTCTTAGAAGGCCCAAGCAACCCAAGAAAATATCTGCAAATCTCCAGCACCTAGCTGAAAACAAAAGCCACGATGAAAGCCAAAATATCCATGTCAGTGAGCTGCTGGGAGGCTCCAGCACATGGGAGGGAACAAGTTTCAAGCAAAAACATCCAAAAAACCAAGGGATACTTGAGCAAAACACCCTTCAAATCAGTATATATACCCATTTCTTTCCCTCATCAGACCTAGCCTTGGAAGAAGGAAGGAAAGAAAGGAAGAAAGATGGCTGGGAATAGAAGTTCTTTACTGGGACAGCTGCAAGAAAGAGCATTGAGCTCCCAAAAATCCATGATTTTGTGCAAATGGGCAAAGTGGATTTCACCAAAAATAGGATGATTGAAGGGATGAGGGGAAAAAGGAAGGGAAAGCCTTGGCCAAATTGGATAGAAACCATTAGGGTTTCTTGGAAAATGATAGCTTACAGCGCCTATAAAAAGAAGCATTTCCTACCCATCATCACAACAAACATATAGGAAGCAAGCTTCATCTTTCATCTTTGAAACTCTGCAATTTCGTGCTACATTCTCCATTCTCTCCCATTTTCCCTCTTCTGGCAGACTGTTCCCACATTTGACAGAACCCATGTCAAGCTGCAGGAAGAACACTTAAGACACCCATTTCTTTCTCTCCCTCTTTTCTCAGCCAAACCTTCTTGCAAACCTTTCCTTTCTTACCTTAACACTCTCTTTTTCCCCAAGAACGCATAACTTTCTCTTCGGTGCTAAACTCATATCAATTTTTCTCCTATGCCACAAGCCTTTCATGCCAAGCTAGAAAATCTATCTATAAGCTGTTGTTATTTTCGTTGGTAAAGGTAACCAAGGTGTTTCCTAAGGCATCTATGTCTCTTTGAAGTATTTTTGGGGCTTGATCTTTGTTGGGGTATTTTTCGTCCGAAGGCTCATCTGGGCTTTGTTGATTCTTGGATCGCCATGAGTGAAGACTTCGTTGCCCCTTTGTCTGAGTTAGCTAGAACTAGGCCCAAAGTATCCCGAGGGAGAAGCAAGTCCCGGGGGAGTACTTTGTTCTTCTTCCAGCGGCTGCGTGCTTTGTGTTGATGTTTCCGGTAGCTCGACGAAGAGTTGAAGATGACTTGCTGATGTTGATATGAGATTATATGAGCTTGGCATGAGAGCTTGGAGTGTGGGAGCTAAAGACCTAGAAGTTTAGCGAATGAGAATGCATGTGCTTGGCTTGGTGTTGGATATGTTTGAGTTTGGTGTTGATAATTTGTTGTGTGTGGCTATGGCTATGGAGATTTAAGAGTTTTAAGAGAAGGAGGATGGAAGGAAAAGCTTGAGGTTTGAAGGCTATGATGTTTAAAGCTTGGAATGAAGAAAAAGCTTAGAGCTAGGTGATGCTTTATGGATTTAAGAGTTTCAAGAGAAGGATAATGGAACGAAAATCTTGAGGTTTGAAGGCTATGGTGTTTGAAGCTTAGAATGAAGGAAAATCTTGGAGCTAGGTGATGCTTTATGGGGGTTGATGGTTGCTGGGATGTTTGCAGCAGCCGAG